TCACCTTGAACCTTCACTTAGCTAAATAAATTGTAGACTACTAATACATTAAGTAAATTGACATTCACTTGTTATTTTTATAATTAACATATATGTCTGACTTTTACAAAACAGATATGAGTGTGCAGTCAGGATAATCAATTCAGATATGGAAGAAATAAAGCAGAAAGGATGGCAAAGCTTGAAGTTGAATCTGAAGTGAAAATGGGAAGACAGGAGCAAAACAGAGTAAAGCTATAAAACATGGTCGCAATTACATTTCATCTAAAGTTTTACAACAATACACTTTAAATGCTAATTTTATTCATTTTCTAAGCCTATTTGTTGTTGCATGTGTTATAGTCACATTTTAGTGTTGTTCATTTGCATCAAAATTGCATTAGATTTCATAAAATCTAATATCAACACAACATTCTATCAGTTGTTTTGAATTTTACACATGAATTGAGTGAATTTATTAACTTTACTCATAGCTCATGCTATATGTTTTCATGTCAGGTTTGTTAAATATGTTTGATTGATAATATTAAACAAACAAATATGTTTTTATAATTTATATTTAAGAAACAGGATCTTTTTTTTTTTTTTGATAAATCAAAGATGGCCCACTTTACCTGAAAATACATTTATCTGTAGTGCACGATCTCAAAATATGTATTTGTATATACCTTCAAAATAGCACATTATGTGAACTAAAGAAAATGTTATAAGACCTTAAAGTTAACAAGATGAGGTAATATCTAAAGTATCTGCTCAATAAAAAATACCCCACCTTACCAGAAGAATTCACCCTATTAACATGTGAACAATATGCATATTAAATTGTATTTAATGTTGTGCCTATACTGCATGTTGTTGAGAAAATTTGAATGGAATTTAAGTGTTGAAGACATTTTATACAAATGAGTGTTATTGTGCTAAAGGTGTTCAGTGCTGTTCTAATTGCTGTTGGAATCTATGCCAAAGTTGCCAAAGAGTCAGGTATGTAAACAACATTTACCATATTCTTTCATCTTATGTCATGAAAGAAGCTTGCAAACACTTAAGAATGACAAAATATGTGTGCATATTACATTATACTGTATTATGCTAACCAAATCAGTTTCAGTATGTTGTTACTGAAGATATGTCAACTACCCATGTACATTTTACGCTGTATATATTCTTCGCTAATGCTTCGCAGATGTAGTGGACACGCTGATGGCAGATCCAGCGCTGCTGTTGATCATCATGGGTTCTCTCATGTTCACCATCACGTTTTTTGGCTGTTTCGGAGCTCTGCGCAACATCTCCTTGCTTCTCAACATGGTCAGATATTCTTATAAGCCGATTTTAGTCACACGTATGATTTTTGGTTTTTATATATTTACAAAGAAATCATATCTGTCCAGTTTGTAGGAATTTTGTTGGCCATTCTGCTTCTTCAAGTAACAGCCGCTGTTCTGGGCCTTCTGTTCTCTGAAAAGGTAAAGAATCACAGAAGTAAAAAAACAAACTTTGGACCAGATTCCATCTTGGAGAAATTATGTGATATTTAAAACGACTACTTTCAATATTTGTTGGTAGGTTCAAGAGAGGACAGAGCAGCTGATGATGAAGGCGATTGTACGCTATCGTGATGATCAGGACCTGGAAAACGTGATTGATTTTGTACAGAAAAAGGTGAATGAACTTTATATATACACATACAAAAAATACAGTAAAAATGATAGTAATGTGAAATATTATTACAATTTAAAATAAGTTTTCAATTTTAAAATTGCAAAATGTAATTTATTCCAGTGATGGTAAAACTATATTTTCAGCATCATTACTTCAGTCTAATATGCTGATTTGCTTCTCTAGAAACATTTCTTATTATTACACTCTAAAAAATGCTGGGTTAAATACAACCCAGTGCTGGGTAAAATATGGACAAACCCAGCAATTGGGTTGTTTTGACCCAGCTTTGGGTTACTAACCAGAATGTTGGGTTAAACATTTAACCCAATCGCTGGGTCAAAACAACCCAATTGCTGGGTTTGTCCATATTTTACCCAGCACTGGGTTGTATTTAACCCAGCATTTTTTAGAGTCTATCAGTGTTGATGTTGTACTGCTTAATACAATCTTTTTTTGTGGAAAGTATGATACTTTTCAGAATTCTTTGATGAATAGAAATTATAATAGAATTTATAAGTATTAAGTTATTATATAATAATATAATGGTATTTATTTGAAACAGAAATCTTTTGTAACATTATGAATATCTGTACTGTTACTTTTCATCAGATTCATGTATTCTTGCTGAATAGAAGTATGA